GCCGAGCTACTCCCAAACCCACCCGGTATCGGCCTGCGATGATAGATAGGTCCCGACACCGTACTCCCCGCCCCCTCCCCAAACCCAACCAGACTCGCGCTGCCGTCATCCGACATGCGGTCCTCGAACCCGCCCACCGACCGCCGGTCCTCCTCCATGTGATCATGGTCCATGTCCCGATACCCGCTCGCCGACCCCTCCTCCTCATACGTATCCACGCTCCCCATGTCCCCCTCATCGCCCACATCCGTCGTGTCCTCCGTGTCCTCCGCATCCCCCATCTCCTCCGCATCCCCCATCTCCTCGTCCCTATCCTCGTCCTGCGCCGTCGTCGCGCTCGCACTGGCTGTACCAACAGTACTCATCTTCGTCGCGGCCGTCGGCTGGCCCTGCGCGTCGAAGTACGCTGGAGTCAGATACGGGTTCAGCGCGGGGTTGTTGTGCGGCGGCAGGAAGCCCGAGGAGGTCGGGGTTGTCTGGGAGGATTGATTGTTGTGCCCGCCGGGCCGGGAGACGGAGGACAGCCCCGCCAGCCGGGATATGCGGTCCGCGCGCTCGGCTTCGAGGGAGTTGGTCGAGGGGTTGGAGTGGTGGCCCCGGCCGCCGCCGCCGTGGGACGGGGGCGCGTGGCCGCGGTGGCCGTCTTTGATTGCTGTTGTGGAGAGGGCGGAGAGGGAGGTTGTTGTGCTTGTGGGCGTGCCGCTGGGAGGGGGGGGTGGTTGGTTAGTATCATGTGATGGATGGGTTGTGGTGGGCAGGCAGGCAGGCTGGCTGGCTTGGGGGACTCACGGCATCTCGGACGGGGTGCCCGGATTGGAGGGGGGTTGGGGCAGGTTGATGAGCATCGGATGCGCGGGCTGGGACACGTTGGCCGACATGTTTGCGGTTGTGATGGTTGTGTTCTGGTTGGCGATGCGATCTGTTCTGAGGTGGTCTGTTATGCGAAGCTGTCTGTTTCTTTGTTGCCGAGCTTCAAATGACTTGGCGACGGTAGATACCTAGGCACCGCAGATGGCAGGAAGCTGGAGCTTTTCGTTTTCTGGTTTTCTAGCACGCGTCACAGTGGAATAGTGAAGATAGATTCGGAAAAGCTTGAAGTTGCTGGTGTTGTGAAGTGGAACGAAGTCAAACAGCTGTCGAGGCTGCCTGCTGCTCGTCTCGAGATGCACGCATTGGGACTTGGCGGGGGATGACGTACAGGTACGTACCGCGAGCCTTGTTGGCCAATCAGAGCGGCCGCGTTTCGACGTTCCGTTGTTTCGCCCATGCGGGGTGCTGGCATCACAAACGGAGCACAAACGGGGAAGGAGCGGTGTTCCCAAACGGGCAAGGAGCAGGTGTTCACATGATGGCTTCCAGCTTCAAACAAAAAGCATTCGATCCCAAGTCTACCGTTCTTTTATGGACAAGGAGAAATCATCGCAAATGGCCAACCATGCAGCTCATCTTCACCGAGATTCAAGCCCGTCTACTACTTCTTGGAAACACCGGCATCACGCATGACCATGTCGTCGCGCGACGGTCCAGTACCAATCCATGCAACCTTGACACCCTGCGACATGCCATGTCAGTAGCTGGAGAGATGATTCGGGCCATGTTAGAACTTACGACAAACTCCTCGATGAACTCGATGTACGTGCGTGCCTGTTTCGGCAGGTCGTAGTACGACTTGGCGTGCGTGGTAGGCTTGTTCCAGCCCTCGAACTCCTTGTACTAAAGAGGTATGGATGTTAGCGCAAGTCTTGACACACACGTCTATGCATGGCACGAGAAAGGGCGCAGCTGCTACTCACCACAACCTCGCACCTCTCCAGCAGACCGAGGTCGGCAGGGAAGAAGTCGATCTCCTGTCCGCTAGCCGGGTCCTTGTATGCGACGGCGACCTTGATCTTCTCGAAGCCGTCGAGCACGTCGAGTTTCGTCAGGTTGAGCGCAGTGTAGTGGTTGATGGCCTGTACTCGAGTTAGCGGTGGACGAGAGCGAAGGCGTCAACCAAGAGCCAGGACATACCGTCGAGTACTTCACGACAACGAGATCCAACCACTGTTGGTTTGACATCGTTAGCATTGCCCTTGCTATGTCATTAAGTCGTCGAGACAACTTACACCACACCTCCGCTTCCTGCCGGTGCTGACTCCCCACTCGCGGCCTTGATATAGCGTTAGTGTACTACTTTTGTACCATGTCAAGGTTCTCCCGAGGTACTTACCAACTTCCTGCAGCTTCGTGCCAGCCTCACCGAGATCTTCAGTCTTGAAGATACCCTCGCCGACACGGGTGGTCTGAGACGTGGCAACAGCCGGGTCAGCAATTACATAGCACGCGTTGGTGCAGGCAGTCACTCACATATGCCTTCACGACACCGATGATCTGGCTGTTCGCATGTTAGCGATCTTTAAACAAACGATGCAGCGCCAATCGCTGAATCCGGAAAGGTCAGATCCACTTACTCAAGCTTCGTCGGGTCGATAGCGAGGCCGGTGAAGATGCCTCCGAGCCTGTTGTAGGTTGTCAGAATCTGGCATGCAAGCCACGTTCGAGAGTCAGGGGACGAACCCGGTGTTACTGCTGGTGCAGTAGGGGTATGTGCCTGGATATTGTGAGCTAACGCTATCCAGTAGAGAGTAAGAGACGAGATGCAGAGCAGACTAACCATAATCTATATCCAGCTATACAAGGAGGTGAAGTCAGAAAAAGGGTCCATGTCAAGAGAGGTGATCGTTCTGGAGGTGACAGCCCGTCGCATAACTCGGACCTCGGGCAGTCAGGGGTAGAAGCTGTGGTAAACTTGCCATGAGCGCGTTGGCACCCTCGATGAGGATCTTCTTGTTGGTTCGTTGGGCGTCGCTGATGAACTGGACGGCATCGACGCAGTACTCGGCGAGCTTCGGTCGGTACTCCTGCAAAAACAAGTCAGCCCATGGCCCGCTTCCTCGCTCGAAAGCCCATCTGAACCGTACCTTCCACCGAGCAATCTCATCCTCGACGTCGTACTTAAGCAGGTCGCCGTACCGCTTCTTGTACCCGTCAGCCAACTTTCGCAGCTTGCGCTCGAATAGCTCCTCGTCGAAGGCCTCAGCCAAGCGTACGCCGCTACGGGCTGCCTTGGTGCTGTACGATGGGCCGATGCCCCTCCTCGTGGTGCCAATCGCGAGCGCGCCGAGCTCGACTTCTTCGAGACCGTCGACGGCGGCGTGCAGGTCAAAGTTGATCTGGCAGCGGTCCGACACGAGGATGCGCTTGCGCGCGCCTTCGAGGCCCTTGGCTTCAAGCTCGTCCAACTCCTTGAAGAAGCTGGGCGCATGGAAGACGACGCCGGAGCCGATGAGGTTCATGCACATGGGGTTGATCAAGCCAGAGGGCAGGAGGTGGAAGCTGGTCGCACAGTGTCAGGTTCTCGGTTCTCTGGTGTTGATGGCGTCGGCAGTCGCTGCTCCGGGGGTCAATACTGACCTGTACGAGACGCCATTAGCAACTTGGTGACGCCCTATGGTTAGCAAAGTGAACGTCTCCTAAGGATTGGGGCAGCATGGTCTTTACCAATGGAATGACCTGGTAAAATGTTAGCTGCTAATCTTGAAACCTAAAGAAATATATCTAGCTAAACAAGAAATATAAACTCTATGAGAACTAATATAGGTAGCAAAGGTAACGGACAACATGAAGGAACCAATAATGAAAAGAATTCTAAACCATGTGTTTGGAATCCTGATATAGGAGATACAACATGAACTTGTCGAACCGAAACTCACCAGCGTTATGGCCGCCCTGTATCACCGTCAGCTCATGCACAATAGCTGCTTCATCACGGGAAGACTCACAGCAGCTCTGGCGCAAATCTGCGCCTTGGGACACAAGATGTCCGTGAGCTTGCCCTTTCCCTCGTCTCTGATTTGCCTGTCAGTGCCAGCTCTGCATAGCCCAATGGCTGGAGTACCGGGGAAGCCTTACCCCCACTGGGAGCCCAGAATGATAGTCGCCATGATTTCGAAAGAGTCGCGATGTCAACACGACAGGAAGGGGTGTTCAAGTTCGACGTCACTCTAAGTCTCCAGATTTTATCTCGCACGCCACTAGCAAGCAATTGAGTCAATCGCGGGGCAGTCATTGTGATTCATGGTGGGGCACAAATATTTGTGCAAGGGTGGGGTCCTCCTTTCTCCCTTCAATTGGGCCTTCGCCGCGTTCCGCGTGCAGATTTTGCGCGATCGGAGGGCGTCACGGGAAGGAGCAGCCAAAATCTGCTGTTTCCCTTTTGGATTGCTCAGTCCTCACAGCAATCTGCCGGCCAGCACGCAGTTAAAATAAGATTTAGTCGCAATATCATTAGAGGTTTTTAGCAAAACAAAAGACATCACAAAACGGAAACGAGCAAAAAGGAACCAACGTTTTTACGTTGTAACGTCTCCGGTACGGGGAATCGAACCCCGAGCCCCGCGGATCCTTCGATCGGGCCGGCGAAAGCTGATCTTTTGAAAACGCGATATGTTAACCGTTACACTATACCGGATGTGTCGCCCGAATACAAGGGTGCGATGTTGGAGGCGGTGCTTAACAGGCTTTATGAATGACTCGGTCTTGCATAACGACGCTAGATATCCGATATCCACATGCAAGACAAAGGGCGACTGACGTGGGGCCTGGAGAACTGCGTGCTTGAATATGGAGAGTCGGTAGGAAGTATTGTCGTTGTCTAGCTGATAAGTTCCTCTGAGTACATCTGCCATACAGCATCCCGTTTCACGCAGATTGAGCATATGCTCGGAGATCTCTCGGCCCCTGACAACCTCATGCTCAGAAGACTCCGGCAGCGAAATCGACAACCTGAACCTTTGAGACGACGGCCCCGAGACTCTTAACAAACGCAAGATGGGCCGGGTCCTTGTGGGTGTAGTACGCTACGTCCTCTTCATTCTCAAACTCGCTGACGAAGACGTGGGTGATGCCGTTCTGGATCCACATTAGCGTACAGTTACAACAACCCCCTCGATTCTAGGAGGAAGCAAGCATTTGGGTATGTAACCGACCTGTAAGCCTTCTGCACTGTTTTCCTTGCCGCCCGTGGCCGACTTGATGTAGGTCTTCTTGGTCTCGGGGTGCACGCAGTTTGTTTTCAGCGCCAGCATGCGGTCGCAGAGCTGGGGCGCTGTCAGTAAGGTGGCTGTTCGCTATTCAGACTTCCGGACTCGGCCCGGTGACGTACATCTTGGACCTCGGCAGGCGTCGCCTCAGGCTTGAACGCGAACATTACAATGTGAATGATGGCCATTTTGGATATATGTATGGTAGGAATTACTCTTAGTTGATTTGGGATATTTTCGGAATATTTTGCACCTATTTGTAGTGTTGAAGAGTCCGAGATGTGTTGAAGAGTCCGAGACGAGGTCGCGCATTTGTCATTCTCGTCCTAGAGATGTGGATATACACTTGTTGCGCCCCACTGTAGACGACCATCGCAGCGTCGCTGGTGTCCTTTGGACAACTTTATGTCCGACAGGTCCGAAAGAAACAACTCCTTGTCTAGAGCGTTTACCAAGGAGCAGAAGGGGTGCCTTCTACGGGTAGCTTCAGCAGCTACCTTCCACCTCCGGCTGGTAGAGCTGCATCAAGCAAAGCAAAGAGGCCCCGTCAAATTACTTCTCCCAGCAACTGTCAAATGTGTCGTCCCATGCGGCGTCTCTAGAGCTTATAGGATCGTCATCATACTCGTCCCAGTCGTCATATCCGAGCCACTCCCGCTGCTCTTCATCCATCCTGCGGTCAGCGCACTCCTCCAGCCATTCGTCCATCGTCAACTCCTTTTTGTCCAACCCCGTGCCCCAAGGCCCCAACTTCTTCTTCTCAGACTGGGGCTCGTATACAGGGCTGCAGGCGTCGGCCACGCGGCGCGCGCTCTCGTCCATAACCTTCTGCATCCATTGACTGTCGATGCGCTTGGCATAGGCATCATGTAGTGCAGGCAGGTGTACGACGTCATTGACGCAGTACTGCATCGTCTTGGCGTCCAAGGGCCAGCGGGAGAAGATGTCGTTGGGCATGAGAGCCTGTACCTCCTCCTTGGTTCTGATCCAGCGGTTGCGCTCCATGAATCCCAGACTCAGATCCCTCTGGACGCATGTATCGAGCCCGCGGACGTAGGTCTTATCACCGTCGCGGGAGGCATTCTCGAGGAGCTGTATGTCTGTGACACCCGCAAGCCGGACCTTGTAGTGGGTCCAGAGGGCATCGGCGTCGTTGCGTACGTCCCAGAGGCATTTAGGGGTGTTGGGATCCTCGAGGATGGCCTTGAGGGTCTTTCCGTTGCCGCCAGGCGTGGTGAAAGCGGAGTTCCCGAGGGCCTGGATGTCGATGATGCCTGTGACTCGTGTGGGGTGGACGAGTACGGTCATGACGGCGAGGGTTCCGTTGCGGCTGAGATTTCTGCCCTCGAGGTCCAGATAGAGGGTACTGGACGTAGGGATCGAGGAGAGGAAGATCATGAGCCCTGGAAGGGAGGAGATCAAGGTCGCGGCCGGCGTGGTAGTAGCCATGTCTAGGATGAAGGAGTGCACCTTGGGGTTGTTTGGTATGTCGAGCTTGTTCGTTCGTTTGTGTTGTAAGTTGCGATACATATATCGCTTTTTGCGTCTTGATTGTGCATTCACTTGCTTTGTCCGAAGCCCTTGTGCTACGCTAGGTTGTTTCACTGATGCCATGCTCAAGGTTCAGCAGCACGAGGCTGCTGTGTAACAGGAAGAAAGTTCGTCCAGACTTCCCCGCTCGTATCAGACCAATCATTCCTAACCGGCCTCCAAGGCAACCATCGCCATGGCCAACTTGAGTCGGTGAGATTGGATGTCATTCCCGTTTTGCATCCCCAGCGCATTTCTCGTTGATCCTGCCGACAGTGGAACCGGCATCTTCCACTCGTGCTACGCCTCCCCTCCCACAACACCAGGGAAAACTCAAGATGGGTGTCGACTGCGGTTTTGATGTCTATCCCTCGCTCAGCCCACAATGTCAGGGCCTCTACGACGCCTTCCTCGAGGAAGTTATCGAGAAATACAAGGACAAACTGCATTCCGTTACCGGCGAGCCCCTTATCCAGATCATCGGCACGCCAGAAACCAAAAACGCCTTTGTTTTCTTCAATGTCGGCGAAGGTCCCAAGCTACCCTACCGCGTCGAGTACTTTCTTCGCTTCGCGTCTAAGCTCGTCGGCCGCGAGAACGTCATGCCATATCTGAAGGAAGTCTACCTCATCGCGCGAGATTACTTCCCCGAAAACGTCCAATTCTGGGCATCTGAATCGGCTGATTTTATCCGAATTCTGGATAAAATACCAGACATGCGAAAGGAGGATGGACCCGTTCGCACGGATAGTGCAGAGGTATACACGGCGTTGCGAGAGATGGTACGTCTAGCGAAAGAAAGCCAAGAGCGAGACACGAAGGTTGAGCCAGAAAAGGAAGCTGCTTGATGGGTTGTGAGATCATTATCAGTCGCGGCAAGTGTTCGAAGAGCCTAGGACCTCCATTTTGGGGCTGCTGCTTCATCACAGCAGTATGGTTCAGCATGGAACAATTGTCGGCATAGCAACAGGTATTCAGTGCATTTGGAAGTGGTTCCGGCTGGTCTTGGTGTCGGTAGCGCAGGTCGCAGCGGCAGTTGCTGTGCCTGGTAACCACAGGCGTAAGCGAGTCGATAGATCTGCAGCCACTTGGGGATAAGCTTAAATAGTAGGGCTGAAACTTTGCAGGCTTCTTCACTCATTTCCCATTAAACCCGGATGGGTGACGGCGTATTTTTACCTGTCTGAAGTGTCCAGTGTCCGGTCTTTGGCACAGCTAATCACATATGCAGCTATTTCGTCAACCCAGGCCCTTTTGCAGTCAAATCGTTTCTTCTGATCCAGAGTATTGGTACAAGAAGCATGCAAACTAAGTACCAGGTACTCGGTGATGGAGAGAGCGGTCCAGCCAGTCAGCTTGCTGTCAACACTTTCGGAGCCTGCCGAGAGCTATCACATGAGACGCCCGACACGAAGAGGTGTGCTTGGCGATGATTGGCTGTTGCTCTTGGCGACAATGCCCTGCCACACCGCTTCAAGATTGGAGAGCCTCGTTGCAGACCAATACCTGCAACTCCATCAATCCCGTACGATACCTCCACGAGTCTGACTGTATTTTCGCCTGTCCAAAAATGTCTTCATCGCAGGGAGGAACCCCCGGACAAGGAAACACGCATTCCCAAAGGGTAGCAGCACCAGCTCAAAGCCACGGTAGACTACAACCACCATCTGGTCGACCTCCAGGAGCCCAGCCGCTTTCTCTATGGGTCCCTCGGCCTCCAACTCGAAGGACAAGGGTATGATACCAGAGCTCTCGCTATCTTTCAAAGCTTGTTAGACTGACCCTGAAGCTAGAGGTTCTTATGGGCTTGTTTCGGAGACTACGGAAGGGCAGGCGCCATCTGGGCTTGCCTGGCTGTAGTTACCGCTCTGGTATTCTTTCTGCTCCAGTGGTTCAAAGAAGCTCCCCAAGATCCATACTCCAAAGCTGCCTATGAGGAGCAGCGGTATCAGAGCGATCTGAAGACCAGAGAATACTGCCTGAAGTTGCGAGTAAGTTGAGTCTGGCAGGACCCCGCAGCTCGCACCGTGCTGAATGTTCCTACAGGAGGCACAACTCCCATGGTCGAATCTAGACTGCGAGCAAATCCTAGCGGCGCCGTTTCTAGCACGCCCTGATAACCTTGAGAATACCGGCCAAGCCACTACACCTCGCAGAGGAATTACTTTCGTGTTGGCATGCATACTTGACCTCTTGCGGGGTGCGGTTGATATCTTCGGCATACCTGTCCCTGCTGTGCTGCTTATTACCTGGGTCTTTACCTGGGTCTTGGTCGCAGTCTTAGCTCCCGCCCAACATCGAAGAAGAGAATGGCCCAGAAGAAACACTTCCAGAGAATACCACTCCACGGACTCGACAAAAGTTGATTCCAGCGATGTCAAGATAGACGACGTTGAGGAATCAGAAGAGACTTCCCAATCGGAACAAGATCTTCATATATCTGACCACGATGCTACTGATTCAGAACACTCGGTAGCTGCAGTGGCCCAGCTGAATACCCCAGAAAATACAGAGGATGGACCACTAGAGCCGCAATCGGGCCGAAGTACAGCATCGACAGACCGCTTTGGCAACAAGACCTCTCGACATGGCCTAAGTCCAGGCAATCGCACTGCCGCAGGCTCACGACACAGTATCCGGGAGAACAGAGATACATACGGAGCTTATGGTAACGAACGCGTCGTTGATGTACGCATCCGTCCTGATGTTCAACAACGGATGGAAAGACACAGCAAAAAGAGTCTCCGCAGTACCAGCGGCACTCAGAAACAGAGAGTCCAAGAGCTTTCCCTGACGGGTTCCACGAATAGGCAAAATACCACTCAACAGGCACAACCAAAAAAGAGTGACCCCGACGTGGCTGGACAATTGGCCTTGCTCTCTAGACTGAGCCAAAGGG